CAATTTGGCGATTACTACTTGAACAAGTATTACTAGTGCGGATATTATTGGAAGGTGTTACTACTAGTACCGGCGTCTAGGAATTCTCGATTATACGGAGCATTTTTGAAAGTGATAACGAGCTTTCGTTTGTCATAGCAAAAGTGACAAGAGAAGCCGTCCAATATCAGAAAAGTGGCGACAAGGATTCGCAAGGATTCACAAAATATACGTTAGATTCTTTAAGAATAAATTCAGTAAAGATGGTAATGTAATATTAATGTTTTGAATGTGTTTTTTATGGTTCTTAATATAGTTATTAGTAATCCCTTCAAGTACCTTCGAAGTAATGTTGTTCTTAATTAGGGTGGCATTTATAAAATCAAGTTTATATCAATGTTGCAGTATATTACGAGCAAGTTTGAATGGTTGTATAAACGTAAATCCATTTTATGTCTAGTTTACGAGATATCTCTCCGATATAAGTGTGTTTACGTTTAAGCTATTTATTTATAAAAGCCTTATCTGAATGGCTGTCAGATTTATTGATTTATCTATTTTATGATGTATTTGTGTGCGAGTTTGTATAAATATAATAATAAGTATATATATATATATATGTGTGTGTGTGTGTGTGTGTGTGTGTGTGTGTGCCTGTTTCACTTAGAAATATTATAAAAAATATACACTGCCCCAACTGACCCGAATAAATAAATCAAATTTAATATCTGCTACAAAAAATTTAGAACTAACCTTATCCTCGAAAATAACAACACACTAACAAATCGAAATTACAAGGAACGAATATTATGTCTAAGTTCAAATGCCCCTTAAGAAACTGTGTTCCTGATCAAACCGAATTCATAAATAATTAAATTGATCACACAACTACATGCCTATCCAGACGACTTATGTGACAACAGCTCTATTAGAAACCATTTAAACACACACACATAGAGATTTACTAGACTCTATCCGAAACATATGAGTAGAAAATACAAACATAATAACCTCATACACCTGTAAAAAAAGATTAAAAATAATGGAAGCCTTAATAATAAAAAAAGCCAACACTTAATAATATTAAATACAAACACGGAAAATAAAGCATCTCTATAACACTAAAAATATACACACCCAATTAAATTGAAAAAATAAAATCATCCTTGATAATGGTTAAAAGTATAGCCGAAACGCTTGGAATTATAGAACATTTGGAGACTGTCTACACACGGTGTACAAAAAAGAAAACACTTATTCGTACGCAAGAAAAGTTAAATAAAAATCATAATACCCTTTCTTTCGTTTTTAATGAAACATGCATAAATGAGGGATTGCTGCCTAAATACACAATATACATAAGTAATTCATCGAGTCTGAAAGAAACCTCAGTAGAATGCAGAAAGCACTGGACGGTGGTTCGTCCTATATTTGGAACTCATCAGCAGTACGCATCCACTACCGAGAATTGAAACCTTGACAGTTAGGTTGTCAAGCAAACACCATACCAACTGTTCCACAGGGCCGCCCAGTGCTTTCTGCATTCTGTTGAGGTTTCTTTCAGACTCGATGAATTACTTAAATATAATTATCAAATCCTCCTAATAATTTCTACCATATATATATTCAATAAATAATGTGCAAGTCTATGGAAAAAGATTATCTCTTTGAATCGAAAATTTCTTGGAACAGTATGCTTCCTTTATAAATTTTCATTTTGTTTTCTGTATATATTTTATTATTTAAACGTTACTTTTCGTAGATACCCATATTTAAGTAAACTCTTCCTTTATTTATTTCGCTACTTGAATCCAATCACTGCTCGGATCACACCATCCTAAAGTAATTATTCATGCACTTGTAGACCGCTTATGAAGCAAATTCCTACTGAGAATTCCTTATTATCTTGTAATAATAATAAGTATAAATGAAGCCAAAAAATTTAAAAGGGGATTTCAAGTTGGGGAAGAAGCTCAGATAAAGTATAATACATCTACTGCGGCCGCAAACAACTTAAAAGAGAAAGCAAAAAGTAAATGAAATGTACCAAATGTAGAAACGACGACAAGAGAAACCTATTTATGGTTAATCAGCCTATAGCTGATGGAGACAAACCTCATATCCATCAATGTCTACGGAGTGCAGGATGGAAACCTGAAACCGAAAGTTTTATTCTTGCTGCACAGGACCAATGTTTGATAAAAAGAAATTAACAAACACACATAATAAACATTTGTGTTAACAAGAAATTCAGATTCTGTGATAAATATCCAGAAACATTTAACAATCTTGTACGTGTAAAAAAAAACACGTTCAAAACAATCATATTACATAACCAAAATTTACTGAATTCATTCTTAAAGAATCTAACGTATTCAGCTTGACACCCACTGGATATAAAACTCGGCATGATAGAGAGGGCCAGTATCTGCACTGGAAAATATGCAACATTTATGGGAAGGAAACTGCAAAAAAACTGTGATTAACATCATCCAGACCTGGTTACAGAGATCAGACCTGTAATCATTTTATGGGGCATTACAATACACAGACAGAACAATAAAATCTGATTGTCCAAATATCGTAATGAAAGACGACAAAAAAGAATGCACTTTATTATTGACATGGCTGTCCCTGCAGATTGTAATGTATCTCTGAAGATCTTCAAAACACTAGCAAAATACAAGGATTTTAAAGTGGAAGTCTAAAAAGCGTGGCACTTGAGGACATCAATAATTCCAGTTGTAATTGGTACCCTTGATTGATTGGAATAAGTACCGGTAGACTCATTGAAGGGATTACTGATCGCCCATTCCTTAACGAAATACAGGAAATTTCATTCACAAACAACCCACAACTTACGAGGTGTTATATGTTTATAAAATATGTGTGAACTTAGGTTTTGATTGTAGTTTGTTTTTCTTTTTAAAAAATGATCAGTGGAAGATATCATGAACCCATTTCTGTCCTAAGATTTATGGTTGGTACCTGGAATAAGATGTGTATACAACAGAAACCAAAGGAAATAATAATAATAATAATAATAATAATAATAATAATAATAATAATAATAATAAAAATAATAATAATAATACTTTCTATTGCTTTTTTGCAAAAATAATCTGTGGAAATATCATAAAGCCAGTTTTGATATTAGGTCACTGGTTGGAACCCGGTAGGAAATGTGTACACAACAGAAACACAAGTAAATAATAATAATAATAATAATAATATTAATAATAATAATAATAATAATAATAATAATAATAATAATAATAATAATAATAATAATAATAATAATAATAATAATAATAATAATCTCCTTATTGATATGACAGTCCCTGCAGACTGCAATGTATCTTTGAAGATATTCAAAAAGCTGTCAAAATACCTTGAAATAGAAATCTCAAAAATGTGGCACATGGGAACATCAACAATCCCTGTTGTAATTGCAGCACTACGATTGGTTAGAAAAGATTCCAGTAGACTAATTGAAGGGATTCCTGGAAGTTCATGCCTCAAAGAGATACAAAAAATTTTTCTCACAAGTATAGCCCACACTTTACGAAGGGCTTTATCTATATATATTTTTTTTTTTGCAGTGTAAAGTGTCATGATACCATTTCTAACTTTAGGTCCCTGAGCGGGACCCGGAAAGAAATGTGTAAACACCAGAAATGAAAAAAAAAAAAAAAAAAAAAATAATAATAATAATAATAATAATAATAATAATAATATTTTTGCAAAAAAATCAGTGTGAAATGTCACGAAACGTTTTCTGGGCTCATGTTTCTTGTTGGCACACTGCAGGAAATGTGTATACAAAGGAAATGACAATATTTTTTGAGCTGCGGCGTGCGGAGGGGGGAACGATTAGTGTAATATGAAACGTATATACGAAGGACCCGGAAAAGAAATAATAATAACCACAGCAACAACAACAACAAAAGAATAATAATAATAATAATAATAATAATAATAATAATAATAATAAGAAGAAGAAGAAGAAGAAGAAGAAGACAAAGAATGATGTCATGACTTCTTGATGCTCTTCGAGAGACCATTTCGTTCGTTTTCTTTTTATTAGTTTATTTGTCATTGAATCACTTGGTCCAAGGTTGGGAATAATCCGGGTTTTGTGACCTAATGTCTCTTCGTTTTTGAAAGGGTTTGTTTTATTGACAGTATGGTCCCTCTCTAAGGTACACGGTCCTTGTTGACCCGGGTGACGACCGATCCGGTATGAAAATTTATTCGTACTCATTGAGATACGTAGAATTTTGCATTTTAACCTTGACCGCCAAGGGGTAATTATGTTTGTTACCATGTCAAAGACGACAATCGAAAAAGACCAGTGATCACGTTATTATTATTATTATTATTATTATTATTATTATTATTATTATTATTATTATTATTATTTCCTTTGATTTCTGACGTTTACACATTTCTTTCCGGATCCCGCCCAGGGACCTAAGGTTAGAAATGGTATTAGGACACTTTACTCTGCAAAAAAAAAAGAATAAATAAATAAAATTAAATAGATAAAGCCCTTCGTAACGTGTGGGCTGTACTTGTCAGAACAATTATTTGTATCTCTTTGAGGCATGGACTTCCAGGAATCCATTCAATTAGTCTACTGGAATCTTTTCCAACCAATATTGTTATTATTATTATTATTATTATTATTATTATTAATATTATTATTATTATTAAAATAATGTATTATTAAAAAGACAAAGATAAAAAATAATAAAAATACAAAAGATTGTTCTCACGGGTACAGCCCCAAAATTACGAAGGGTTTTATCTATGTAAAATATGTGTGTGTGTGTGTGTGTGTGTGTTTTTTTTTTTTGATTTGTCAGTAGAAAATGTCATGATGCCATTTCTAACCATAAGTCTCTTTCTTTCGGAAAGAAATGTGTACACAACAAAAATCAAAGGAAATAATAATAATAATAATAATAATAATATTAATAATAATAATAATAATTCTTTAAATATGGCTTTTAGTGATCATGACAAGAAGACAGCAACAGCGACTCGTAAAAGAATTAATGAAAATATTCAACAAAGCAGACAGCATTCCTGGAAATAATGGACGATCTATGAAGATCCTCGATATTAGTGTAAAGTGATTGACATTGATTAAATTCTAATTTTCTTTATCAGTAAACAAAAATCTAATAATGTTGGTTGAGGTCGCTTTTAATCAACTTGCCAATCTAAAGCACACTAAGATAAAAAAAAATTATATTACAGATTTGCACATTTAATTGCCCCAAAATCATCCAATACCTTCATACAGAAAACATACACAGACCCACTCTGATTACTAAGGTTACACTTTCAACTTACTTTAAAATTATACATTGGCATATATATATATATATATATATATATATATATATATATATATATATATATATATATTGAACAATAAAAAATATTAAAAATTCAAATCTTCACACACACTGTATATAAATATTCTTTCGTTTTTATTATTTCAGTTAGATTCCTCGACTAATTCCGGGCAACATGGCCATCATCAGGAGAAAGAAAATTCTTGTTAGTAGCAGAAATGAATAACTTGATGCAGAAAATTAACTTTTATCTGTAGTTTTCATTTGTTTTTTTGTTTTTTTATGTTTTTAACGTGAATTTTGATCAGCCCTTGTGTTGGTCAAACAGGCTTAAGTTGTTATTTAAGAGCTGGATTAATTCATGCTGCTCTGAATTCCCTTGACCATTTTGACAGTCTTATTGGCTCCTGGAAAGGGGATGTGTCTCTGTTAAGTGTGTGTGTTATTTGGTTCTTAGGGAGTGAGTGAGTATGATGTGTGTAAGTGTGTATATTAGTATGGGTGTGTCTATAAGTGTGAGACCTCAACACCCCTGCAAGCATGTTTGTCTTGTGTGGGTGAGAAATGTGGGTAGGGACTGATTTGTGGGGTTATATATTAATTTTATCTATGTTGTTAAATTTGTGATTAAGCCCGTCCGGATGGAGCGTTTTAGGTGCAGAATCCAATTATCTTCATGGCCTTCTAAAATCTTTCTAATGCTATCTGCTCTGAACTTTTCTATTTTCTCAATTATAGTGAATTTCGCATGGGTTTTAAAATCGTGTTTTTGTAGGCGGAAATGTTTTTCTACAGGTAAAAATCTTTCATGGGGAGTTTACTTAATTCGATTGCGATAATTATTAATTCTGTAGTGAAAGTGCCATTCAGACTTTCTTACATATTATTTCTGACACAGTGTGTATTCTAGAAGGTAAATTATGTTATGAGTCGTAGTAGATTTTGAAAGTAGATTTAGTGATAGATATTATTACTACAGTGTAACCCGGATATAAGAGACCCGGATATAAGAGAAACCGGGATATAAGAGAGATTTTATCTGGTCCCAAAGTGTTCCCATACTTACCTAAACAAAATAGACCAAACCTGGATATAAGTCCCGACAACTCTCTTATATCCGGGTTACACTGTATATAAAATTCTATGAATATTGTATCTTGTGTGTTTGCGAGAAGTCATATAGAGAGTGGGGAAAATTAAGATCTAAACAAGCCATGCGATTAGAAAGATGTACATTTATTATCGCGTAGATAGTGTATATATATATATATATATATATATATATATATATATATATATATATATATATATATATATATATATAAAAATATCGTGCAGTTTAATTTATGTTTACATGAATCATTTATACAATAAGTAAATTAGTAAACATAATGATATAAAATGGCGAAAACATACATTAACCTACTAATCATTCGATGAATGTTGTGATCCTTGTTTTATTTTTTAAAATTATAGTCTGTATTAAGTCTTCCTTAAATATACAAGTAATTACAACGGTTCAGTCACTTAAATCTTAAAAAATTCGGCATTAACGTTGCGACTCACCGCTTCACAATTTTGTATCCGTTATCAATAACACATTTAAAAAAAACGGATGCTCCCTGAATTTTACCAAGAACAAAAGAGTTTCCTTGCTTGATGATGACTGGAGGAACAGTCGTAAGTATTTGCATATGAAAGGAAGATCTAATACTGTTTATAAATTTAAAAGCTAGGATCATAACATTCATCGAGTGATTAGTGTGTTAATGCACCTTTAAAATTTAGTTGCGGAAGGAATTTCGCCATTTTATATCATTAACTTTACTAATTTAATTTTTGTATGACTGATTCATTGCAATATATATATATATATATATATATATATATATATATATATATATATATATATCTGTGTGTGTGTTTTGTGTGTGGGGGGGGGGGGTGTCTGAGTTCTAGAGTAGTTTTCAGAGTGGAGGCTTGTATTTCGCTAAGTAGGTCCTAAAAGGGTCCGACGTACAAAACGTTAGGAACTTGAAAATAATAGTTAATGACGCAGCAATCTAGTTGGGGTGGTTGATACTTCAATGTCCGACATCGACTGACTCACTCAACTCCACTGAGCCCAACTGGCCACCGCTACTACTACTACTACTTATTATGTGTGAGAGAGTCTATTACAATAGAATAGGTAATATTCTAGTATAACAGTCTCTGTGTGTGTGTGTGTGTGTGTGTGTGTGTGTGTGTGTGTGTGTGTGTGTGTGTGTGTTTACATTCTTTTTATAGATACGAATATTTAAGTAAATGCTCTGTTTATAATAAACAGTATTAAACAACATTTAACGGCCTGAATGTCCGAGAAATTTTCATAGAAATTTCTCGGACATTCAATATTTCCATGGTATGTTTTCTGACCAGCTACATTCTTTGGCTCCCTCCTCAATGTATGTATGAAAGGTTTCCCTGAGATTCGACGACGAATTGGATGAACAAATATACATTTCAAAAGCTAAGCAGAGTATTAAGAGACAGAATAGTTTCGTTAAAAAAAAACAACAGAGATAATAGTACTGAACTGTGATGTCATATATGTCTTCCTCTATGGCGGCCAATGCTGGAGAATCTCCTCAAAGAGGCTCGAAGCAAAAGAAAATGTTCTACAAAAGAATGCTGAGGATACCGTCGAACAACGATGTGAGCAACGACTAAGTTTTAGAGAAAATGGACAAAAAGGAAACTTATACATAAAATCAGAAAAAACTTTTCTGGGGCACGTAACGAGGAAAGAGGGCTACGAAAATATGATACTCAAAAAGACAGATTGAAAGACTGAGTAAATCAGCGCATAACATACGTGAGGGCTTGAGTAAATGGATGTGAAAACGGCGTTTTGTAGTAATAACAATTAAACAAAACTTATTAAGAGTTAGAAGGGAAGGAAAGACGTTGAGGACCGTGATCCCCTACAAACTGAAATGACAGAGCAGATAAAAGAATGAAGATTTCTATTAAAGACTGTCTCGCGCCCTAGTTCATGACATCTAGCTGTACATGCATACCACTTAGAAATCCGTGGCCATACACAGCCTCGTCTTGACTATCATACTTTTTGATGTTTACTATACCGAAGTAGATTGTTTGTTCCGTGTCTTTATAGACGTCATCAACATTCAAGAAACCCCGTTCTTCTTGTAAGCGCGGACTGCTAAATAAGCTTTTCTTCATTATTAATCTTTTAATTTATCGCAAATCTCCTTTTGGTGTCATCCTTAAAGCAACTTCCTTTTTTTTTTTCGTTCTGATCCGGTTTATATCATTAATTTCGTTTTCGCAATTCCTGAATTTCTTTTCTCATCATTCAATAATATGACAACATTTTATTTCTCATACGTACATATATATATATATATATATATATATATATATATATATATATATATACACACACACACACACACACACATATATATATATATATATATATATATATATATATATATATATATATATACACATATATATATGCGTATAATCTATGTGTGTGCGATTTTTATATTTATAATTATATATATAGATAGATAAATATATATGCTTATATATGTATATACCTATATGCTTATATATATATATATATATATACATATATATATTTATATATATATATATATATATATATATATATATATATATATATATATATATGTATATATATATGTATGTATGTATGTATATGTATATATGTATATATGAAATTATAAAATAGATTTCAATAACAATATCCTATATATTAATTTATAATGTGACGAACAACCCTGGAGATAAATAATAAAATCAAATCCGGCCAAATATGTTATTGTGAGTATTTGCATTAAAGAAATATCATAAGCTGAATTTAATTTGATATATTTATCAGATAAATACATCAGGATGATTTTACCAATGTCGCTTATGAAGAGAAATAACACGTTAATAAAAACTGACATTCAGGATGATTAGCTGTGATATTTCTGGATTGAGATTTTGGATTAGCTTTACAATACGTAAGTCTCATTCCCTCTCACTATCAATCCCACCAACACTCTCTTAATCTCTCACTTAATCTCTCTCTCTCTCTCTCTCTCAAGCGAAATATTTGTCTGTCCATCTATCCATTTATTTATATAGTCCTCTTTTTCAACTTGTTTTTCTTTTCTTTCTTTCTTTCTTTCTTTCTTTCTTTATATCTATCTATCTATCTATCTATCTATCTCAGTCTATCTATCTATCTATCTATCTATCTATCTATCTCAGTCGGTTCTTCTATCTATCTATCTATCTATCTATCTATCTATCTATCTATCTATCTCAGTCGGTTCTTCTATCTATC